GAGATGTGGAGATTCAAGGCATTTTGGCTCCGAATTGATGTTCTTATGAATATTACTTACAATGTTCATGGCAACAGAGAGAACATCCTGAAATATAGTTAATGACAGGAGTGGCTTTATCAACAATGCCAATCCCCTACCAAAAACGTTAAGATAGTTTTCCATAACTCCTTGGATATGAAGGAGTTATGGAAAACTATCAGGTTGGTAAGATTCTGAAATTATTCTCCATATTCATGTGCAAGTTTGAGCACTTAGCTGACACAGCTGCTGCTCTCCCTGTCCCAGCCCCAAATCCAAATATAACATGACTTGAAAGGGCTTTCTATCCATTGCATTGTACAATAAGCCAAATAGTTATCATATCTTCAATTGTGATTTTAAAGCAGTTTGTAATTAAATATGAGCATTTTGGTTTTTTTGTTTTGTTTTGAGAGAGAGAGAGAGAGAGAGAGAGAGAGAATTTTTTTATATTTATTTTTTAGTTTTCGGCGGACACAACATCTTTGTTTGTATGTGGTGCTGAGGGTCGAACCCAGGCCGCACGCATGCCAGGCAAGCGCGCTACTGCTTGAGCCACATCCCCAGCCCAATGTGAGCATTTTGTACAGGACAATTGTGCTTTACAAAAGAGCAAAATCATACAACAAAAATTGCTGAAGTCTGATTTACATGAATTATGGTGCGAAATCACATTTACATTAAGTCTCAAATTTACAAAAAAAAAAAAAAAATCAGTTCTGTTGTACTGTGGAAGTTCCCTGGAGTAATCACTCCCACTTGTGTCATATCCTCTTCCTTAGAGTTGAGACTGGTCTCTGGGTCCTTTGAAGATTTTCTTTGGGGCTGGGGATGTGGCTCAAGCGGTAGCACACTCGCCTGGCATGCGTGCGGCCCGGGTTCAATCCTCAGCACCACATACAAATGAAGATGTTGTGTCCACCGAAAACCAAATAATTAAAATTAAAATTCTCTCTCTCTCTCTCTCTCTCTCTCTCTCTCTCTCTCTCCCTTCCTCACTCTCTCTTAAAAAAAAAAGATTTTCTTTTTGTGTATGGTTTTCAGTAGTTTTACCATAATGTTCCTAGGGATTGATTTATTTTAATTTATCCTGCTTAGGGTTAATAGGGCTTCATTTATTTGTAATGTGATATCTTTCAAAATGTTTAGATAGTTTTAGCCATTAACTTTTCTGTCTTATTGTTTTTTTGGTTTTGGTACTGAGAATTGTACCCAGTGGCACTCTACCATTGAGCTTCATTCCCAGTTCGATAAGTTGCCAAGGCTGACCTCGAACTTGTGATCTGGTCAGAGGAAGCAGGGCAGGCCCTGCTCTGCCACTACTACACCTCAATCCAATTCTTGTGGCCTGGACTGACCTGATCTGTCCTCCTCAGACTCTGACTGCAGGTTTGTGACTCCTGATGGAAATCATATGACACAATATTTGGATCACAGATGCTTGAAAGGTCTTCAGAATTACAGAAGACAAAAATACTAATGGATATGAGAAAGCAGTAAGTTTGGGGAGAGGGAGAAAAAGCAACTTATTTCCTGATTTACAACTTGATTGGATGCTAAGATATTGGTGGACATGAATAGTTAGGGCCTGAAAGCAATGAAGAGGACTATGACCCAAATTGTGTGGAGGAGAAGGAAGAAGAGATCAAGAACCCTGAGAACATAGAGGACTATTATGTGTGGGAGTAGCCAGCAACTTGGAGAGCAGAGGGCTGATGGCTTTAATCTTGAGGAGTTTAATCTTGAGACCTTAACCATGTGCTTTAAGACAGTTTAGCCTCTGTCTTAAAGTTACCTCATTCAGTTGCTAAACTAATACTAGTTATTTGCACCTGCCAGTCTCAGAGATATTAGACAGAAATGAGTCCAGTTCTTCTCAACTACTCATTGAAGTGCAAGTTCAGCCTAATCCATCAAAACACATCCCACAGCCCATTCCCCTAACCACTGAACAGTATGCATGAAGTTTATGTGGAAAGGGAATCTTTGGCTTGTCAGCACAATTTTGCTGTAGCTGCTGGGAGCAGCACTGCTCAATACTTGTCAAGGACAGATGGATGTGGGAGTCTCTCATGTGGCTCAGAACTGTCCAGTCTGTCCACTCCCCACTTTGTGTTTCATTGTTTTCCAATGAAGAATTGAAAGACAAATACAGGTGCTACCTTTTCAGGGAGTGTGTGGAGCATCATTACCAGCTCCAACAGTGCCCTGCTGCAAACTGCCCCATGGTTATTCTGGTATAGGAGCCCAGAGTTCACCAAGTGCAGTGCAATAAGGTCTTCTGTTTCAAGTACCATGAGTGAAATTGGTACAGGAGAATCCCGATACTGTTGGCCAGAGTGAGCAAGCCCAGGCCAGAGAGGCCTTCAACAATATTTGTTCTAGCCTATAATTGCAGCAGTTCAGGATGCAGAAGCAGGAGGATTGCAAGTTTGAAGCCAGCCTCACAACTTAGTTAGGCCCTGTCTCAAAATTAAAAAAAAATTAAAAAGGGCTGGGGATGTGGCTCAGTGATTAAGCTCCCCTGGATTCAATCTCCAGTACAAAAAAAAAAAAAAAGTGTGGGCTGGGGTTGTGGCTCAGTGGTAGAGCACTTGCCTAGAATATATGAGGCACTGGGTTCTATCCTCAACACCACACAAAAATATCTTTCTTTGGTGGGGCAGGGTAGGGGTGCTAGGGATTGAACTAAGGGACACTGGACCACTGGGCCACATCCCCAGCCCTATTTTGTGTTTTATTTAGAGACAAGGTTTCACTGAGTTACTTAGCACCTCGCTTTTTGCTGAGACTGGCTTTGAACTTCCAGTCCTCCTGACTCAGCCTCCTGAGCCGCTGGGATCACCCAGCTACCACATATAAATAGATAAATAAAATAACAGTATTGTGTTCATCTACAACTAAATTTTTTTTTTAAATAGAAGTACTGTTCTATTTTGAGACGTGCAAAAACTAAAAATCACTTAGTTAGAGGCACAAACATACCAGTGGATTCATGGGAAGATTCAGGAAAGGGTCATGAACAATCTGGGGACTTGGATTGACAGGCAGTACCTACAGAATGCTGCCAAGCTCTTAGCCAAGTGTCGATGTATTCTGTAATACACCTACATACATGCGTACTATATGGAGTCTGGACCCAGGAAGAAGCTATTTCAATACTAGCAGGCTCAGAGATTGAAAACCTCTAGAAGAAAGTGAAACATACAGACAGTATGACACAATGGACTTGGCAAACCAGATGCATATAGCAGAACAGCAGAGAGGAACCCTGCAAGAATTTCCATGACACTGAAGTCAAAACATGGACATGCTGTGGGGAAGAAGATGGGGTTCTCAGGTCTCCGGCTGCCATACTGCATGCTGCAGACTGCCTTTCACAACCCCAGAGCCAGAGCCCCACTCCTGAAAGACACTGGCAGCACACCTCTTAATTTCTGTTTCCTTCTCTCTCTCTCTCTCTCTCTCTCTCTCTCTCTCTTTCTCTTTCCCCCTCTTTTTTTTTCTTCCAGGTTAGAAGTCATGTTAAATTAGCCTCTTTTCAGAAATTTTAATTCTCCCTGGATGATTGTTGTGGGGGGGAAGGAATTTTTTGTTTGTTTTTTGAACAGCTATTAATAGTATTAGATCATTACAATTCATGTAAGACTGTACAATTATTTTATTTTAAAATTTTTTTTAGTTATTGTTAGACCTTTATTTTATTTATTTATATGCGGTGCTAAGAATTGAACCCTGTGCTTCACAGATTCCAGACAAGTGTACTACTGCTGAGCCCCAGCCCCAGACCCTATAAAATTATTTTTAAAAAGGTAAACCATAAAACACAGAGCTCTTTTAAAAAATAAACTGGCATTGGAATATTAAAAAAAAAAAACTTGTGATCTTCCAGCCTCAGCCTTCCCAGTAGCTGGGATTACAGGTATGTGCAATAGCTCATACTTCATATATAGGGTTTATGTGTATATACGGATATACAGAAAGGATATAAGAATTGGCTCACACAACTATGGAAGCTGAGAAGTTCCACCAGAGTAGGGCTGGAGACATGGCTATTTGGGAGACATTAGCAAACAGAGAATAACAGGAGGCAGACCAATAAAAAGGACTAGGCACAGACAGTGTGTCTAGAACAAGGACAGTGGGCTACAGGTGTAGCTCCCGGAACACTGCAACTGATGGGCCAGATAAAGATGAAGATCTACCATAGGAGTTTGAGACAGAACAGCAAGGAGAGAGGGCAGCTGTGGAACAAGCAAAGGAAGGCTTGAGTGCGAAGGAGAAGACCAGCAATACAAAATGCTGGTGCACAGAGGTCAGGGAAGATACAGACTGAAAATTAGGTCATCTCAACTAGGATGAGTGTAGTAGGAACAGGTCCATGGAGAAGTTTCAAGGGTTATTTGGCTGAGAGCATCCATGAACCAAGGCTCCCAATTGGACATCTTGAAGGATGCCTTGAATGGCAGGTGGATGTGTGTCACTCACTGTCCAGCAAGCATAGGGGAAGAAGGAAAGAAGGGGGGCCCTTTGAGTTTCCAGTGCCTAGAAGAACTCAAGAGATGTGTAGTACTTGGGTGCAGTGGTGTGTGCCTATAATCCTAGCTCCTTGAGAGACTGAGACAGGAGGTTCACCAATTAATTCAAGGCCAGCCTGGGCAACTTAGCAAGACCCTGTTTCAAAATAAAAAGGGCTGGGTGTAGCTCAGTGGCAGAGGTCTTGCCTAATGTTCATAAATCTCAGGGGGTGGGGGAGCTTAAGTATGGGGCATGAGTATGCAGGGGTGGGGGAAGAGTGATGTTGAGTAAGCAGTGCAACATCTAGTCTGGAGCTCAGAGAAGTTTGCAGTATGCAGATAAGGATTTGGAAGTCACAGATGAAATTGATATGTGGACTTTTCAGAGATCTGGTCTTATTCCAGTTCCCTGACCCCAAATCTTGTGTCAACCCCCCAAGTTTGTTTCTAGGTGATACCCACCTTCCCTAGGTCAGAGCTGATGCTAAGACCCCTAATAAATGCATCCCCACAGGTGATGGGCTTCTGTCCTGTCAGCATTTTGAAAATGGAAGTCTTTCCAGCTCCATTAATTCCAAGAAGACCAAAGCATTCTTTAGCTTGAACAGTGAAGGATACTTTGTTCACAGCCAGCAGGGGTACCTTCTTGATATAGACCTAAGATATGCAAGACAGGAGACAAGGGAGAAGGCTGGTAGTCAGCGACAGGTCTGAGCTGCCCTCGGGGGCCCAGGTGGCCTCTCACATCCCAGGCTCAGACTTGCATTTTCTCAGCCACTGCTCCCAGTAGGCTCAGTAAGGTTTTCTATCCTCCCACTCTCTTTGCATTTTGAGAACTCAATTCCCTTAAGATAAGCTTTTTCTCTTTTGTTCCTGAAGCCAACAAAATCCCTTGGATTGTTGCCTGAGGGCTTATTGATGTTGTTTTAACCTCCAGAAACTATATGAAACAACAAGACTAATAAATTTTGGGGGGAAAATGCTACACAGTACCTGGATATTTGAAGGTCTCTCAAAATTCTCCCTGGGGCTATCAGGAAGACTAGGGAAGATTGGTTTGAGTTTCTAGACCCCTTTTCAGGCCTTGGCCCATCTCCAGTTGTCTTCTACATTCCAGGAAATATTCCATAAGTTCATGTCCCACCTTCCAGCCTTCCTTGCTTCTCAGGGTTCATGGCTCAGGTCCCTTCCCATCCCAGGCCCTTCTATCTTCCAGAAGACCACAGAAATAGGGCAGAGTCTGGGTGCACAAACAAACTCAGATATGCTTCATTCTTAAACGGAGAAACCACATCTCCATCAGCAGCTCCTGAGTTACTGTAGACAGGCCTTGAGCCTGTCAATGGGTGGATTCCTCATGCAAAAGACCTGAGAAATCTCTGCTTTCTTTCTTTCTTTTTTCTTTTTGGTACTAGGGATTGGACTCAGGGGAGCTTGATCACTGAGCCATATCCTCACCCTTTATATATTTTTAATTTTGAAACAGGTCTCACTAAGTTGTGTAGACCTTCACTAAGTTGGTGAGGTTGGTCTCAAAGTTATAATCCTCCTGCCTCAGCCCCTCAAATTGCTGGGATTACAGGAGTGCGCCACCATGCCCAGCAAGATTTGGCTTTCTGAAGCCAAGTCTGACTTTACCTTCGACACTTCTTTAACAATTAGTGGATGTGTCTTTCGCAACGTTTCCAAATAAGTCCTGACAGTTTTTGCCTCCTCTTCTACATCTTGGTCTTCAGGCACTGATGCTGCTGCGAGCAATCTTGCCTACAGTTCCCAAGACAAGGATAGAGACATAAAATGTTTGTAAGGGTGGGAGATAGAGATTGAAGGGAACCGCAAAGACCACATCCTTCCTGGGAAGTCCCCAAGGTGCCCCAGCCGACCTCAGTTCTCATGCTCATACCACCATCCCTATTTCAGGAGCCACTGTGGGTGTCCAACAGAGAATTCATGTTGACATAAACATGATTAGCTGGACATTTAAACCTCACGTGGTGTGAACTTTTGAAGAAAACTAAAAGACTTTAAGCCCAGAATGTCAAGACACAACAGAAGTTAATTCCTATATTTTCCTTGGGGGTCTTGGCCTCTGGAAGATAATCAGACCAAGAGCTGACAAAAGAGACCTTCTGTCAGGTTCATTGCTAAATGGGGAAGAGGTGTTCTACAAGGTGACTGGTTCTAGGAAGCCAATGTCTTGTTTATACTTAGCTGATGAGCTGGCTATTAAAGTACTTCAGGTGACCAGTATGTTTACCAGGGCCACAGGGGCTAACCAAATTCTTTCCCTTCTCTAGAGGAATCCAGAGAATCAAGGCAGCCACAGAAAACAAGGACACTAAGGAGCCAGGCCATTACCTGTCCTTGGAGGATTTAGAGTCCAACTCACCACTTTTGCTTCAGGAAGAAGTTAGAAATCCTAGCTTTCAGTCTCCTGAACACTTTGGTTTCAACAAGAAAAAGCAGGATGATGTACAAAGGTCCTGAGATAGCCAAGGCTGCCAGATATTTCCCTATCCCAAGGGATTCCCAGGCATAGATGTTCTTTTGAATCACATGTCCTTCTGCTAATATGAGATAAAGAGATGTTATCACTTTGGGTAATTTTTAAAGCTGTTCCTCCCCTGTACATACAGTAGGCAACTTCCCATTCTGGCAAATATCACCAAAAGAAGCGTTATTGCCATTGATGCTATTACCACATCCCAGCAAATAGTAAACAAGAATATATTATTTTCCTTGTTATGACCAATGTTTTGTAAAAAATATGCAATAAAAGACTTTTCTCATGTTGTAAACCATAAATATATATAATTTTCATCAATAAAAAAGTAAAAGTGTTGGGGATGAATCTCAGTTGTAGAGGATGCTTAGCATGTGTGATACCCTGGGTTCAATCCCCAGCATCAAAAAAATCTAAAATGAAATAAAATAAAATAAATAAAAGACTTCTTATCTACATGGCAGCGTTGGTTCTTCTTTCAATCATTAATTCCCTGGCAACTTCAACTGACCATTCATGTAAAAAAAATTTCAGGAGGCTCTGTTCTCTCTTTTGATCTCATCTGCCTCACTTTTTTTCTTTTAAATGAATGTAGTATAAAATTAGACAATAAATACATACTTATTAGAAAAATGAGAAAGAAGGTTGGGGTTGTGGCTCAGTGGTAGAGCGCTTGCCTAGCACTCGTGAGGCCCTGGGTTCAATCCTCAGCACCACATAAAAATAAACAAATAGAAAAAAGATATTGTGTCCATCTAAAACTAAAATTATTTTAAAAAAGAGAAAAATGAGAAAGGTATAAAGTAAAGGTATATTGTTATAGTTTTGTGCATGATTCTTCTATATTTTCTAGATGTTGTTGTTGTTGCATTATTATTATTTTGGTACCAGGGATTGAACCCAAGAACACTTAACCACTGAGCCACATCCCCAACCTTTTTTTTTTTAAGAGAGAGAGAGAGAATTTTTAACATTTATTTTTTAGTTTTCGGTGCACACAACATCTTTATTTTATTTTTATGTGGTGCTGAGGATCAAACCCATCACCCCGCGCATGCCAGGCGAGTGCATTACCTCTTGAGCCACATCCCCAGCACCCCCAACCCTTTTTATTTTTAAAGATAACATCTTTTTATTTTCTTTTTTTGGTACCAGGAATTGAACTCAAATGCATTCAACCACTGAGCCATATCCCCAGCCCTATTTTGTGTTTTATTTACAGACAGGGTCTCACTGAGTTGCTTAGTGCCTCACTAAGTTGCTAAGGCTGGCTTTGAGCTTGAGATCCTCCTGTCTCAGCCTCCCTAGCTGCTGGGATTCCAGGCGTGCACCACTGCACCTGGCTTATTTTTTTATTTTTGAGACAGGATCTTGCTAAGTTGCTTAGGGCCTCACTAAGTTGCTGAGGCTGACTTTGAACTTGTCACTTTCCCACCTCAGCATCCAAAGCCTCTGGGATTACAAGCATGAATCACTGTGCCTAGCCCTAGATATTATCTTTTAAAATAAATGTGGAATGACACTATGCATTATCTTCCCCAATTTACTGTTTCATTTAATAATGCATAATGGACACTAACCACATGAGGACACACAGATCAAAATAATTCTTTTTGATGCCTGCATCATTTTATATTGTATGTATGTATATATACCATAGTTTATTAACTAATCTCTTTTTGGTGCACATGCAGGTTGGAGTCATTCCTCACTATCTGTATAGCATGGATTCCAAGACTCCTCCTGAACATAAATATCTACAAATGCTTAAGTACCTTTGTAAAATGACATAATAAAGCCAGCCTTCTGTATCTATAGACTCTGCATTCACTCAAACAATCATGAGTTGAAAATATTCAGAAAAGAAAAATTGCATCTGTATTGAACAGATTTTTATGTCATTATTCTCTAAGTGATACTGCATATCATCTATTTATATAACATTTATATTATATTCAGTATTATAAATGATCTAGTGATGATTTAAAGTATTTAAGAGGCTGGGTATGATGGCACACATCTATAATCCCAGTGACTTGGAGGCTGAGGCAAGAGAATCACAAATTCAAGGCCAGCCTCAGTAACTTAGTGAGGCCCTGTCTCAAAACAAAAAAAATAAAAAGGACTGGGAATGTAGCTCAGTGGCAAAGTGTCTCTGGGTTCAATCCCCAGTACCAAAAAATAAATACATCAATACAGTACATGGGAGGATATACACACATTATATGCAATTTTACATAAATCTTACATTACTATGCCATTTTTACATAAAAGGAAGAACATTATCTGAATATATCTCAATAAAATGTAATTAACAAATTACATTTAAATACTCACAAACTTCTTTGCACTCAATCTGGCTCAGATTCTTGGAATTGCAAAACTTTTGTAGTTCAAAGTTGTAATACAAGTTGGAAAAAGCCATCCCCAGACAGTATCCTGGAAGTATTAGAAAAGTACGATCCGAGGACTCTGAGATTTCTGTGTAGCCCAACTCTGTAAAGAGAATGAAAACACTGACTACCTTCAGGATGAAAAGGGCACATCTTCACCTCAGACTGTCGTACTCTAGGCCTCCAGACCAAAAGCCTGGCTTTCCCTGACTCCTGGTTTTCATGTTCCCTGTGTTGTCGTCTTTCAGTCTCCAAGCCATGAGTATTTTTCTCTGTTCCTTAAATCTATCACTTTGCTGCTTCCTCCTCCTCCTTCTTTTTTTTTTTTAATACTTTTATTGAACTGAGAATTGAAGCCAGTGCTTCATACATGCTAGGCAAGCACTCTACCTAGCCACACTCTACTGAGCCACAACCCTAGCCCTCCTTCTTCTTCTTTGGTCCTGAAGATTGAATGCAGGGTCACTTTCACTACAGAGCTACATCCTCAGTCCCTTTTATTTTACTTTTTATTTTGAGACAGGGTCTCGCTAAGTTGCCTAGGCTGGTCTTGAACTTGTGAACCTCCTACCTCAGTCTCCCAAGTCTCTGGGATCACAAGCATGTGACATAGCCCCCAGCCTGCCATTTTACTTCTATTCTATCTGTTCATGCAGGACAATAAGAAAGAACATAGTGTGTCTGGGAAAGTCAGTGACTGTAAGGCTACCACGCTGGCATAGTGGAGGGAAGAAGGCAATGAATGGGTTCGATGTCAACTGGGGCCACATAGAATGGGGTCTAGGGGTCAGCTTCACACCTGTTGGAATGACATCCTAAAGACAGATAAGAATGATGTGGTTGTAGCCTCTACAGTTTGTGGAGATAAAACTCTTATTAAGAGTCCTTTATGAGACAGAATGACTCCTAAGATAAAAGCAGAAGGAAACTTTGTTGTGGTGGTGGTTGTTTTTTCTTCAGTATTGGGGTTTCAACCCAGGCCTCATACATGGTAGGAAAGCCTTATACCATTCCAGCCCTTTTAAAATTTTTATTTTGAAGCAGGATCTTAAGTTGCCCAGGCTGAACTTGAACTTGCAATCCTCCTGTCTCAGCCTCCTGAGGAGCCGGGATTATAGGCGTGAGCCAGTGTGCCTGGCCTGTTATCTATTTTAAAGTAAAAATGCCCCCAAAGTCAATATGAAGGAGACTTTTGCATAAATACAAATGAAAGAGAATTTTAGATGTAATGTATCAGGTGGTTGTACAACCCTGACCCAAAGAGAGATGGCAACATAAACATGAAGATTCCGGTTCTAGGTGTACATTGTGAATGATGCTCAGTTTAAGTTTTTTTTTTAAACTCTGATTACACACTCACCAAACATCCTTCCCTCAACCTTGGCACATGTATATATTATATTTTTTTCTTAAAGAATAATGCATTTTATTGAAATTCAAGGATTGTAGGTGGACAATTTGATGGATTTTTCACAAGTACATAAGCCCATGTAGTCAACCCCAATCAAGACAATGAACATCTCATCACTCCAGAAAGGTCCCTAGTGTCCACCCATTAGCCTGTCCTTCTCCCCTCAACCTAAGGCAATCACTTTCCTGATTCTGTCCCCAGGATTAGTTCTGTCTGCTCATGGTCTTCACAGTAGGTATGGCAGACTGTGTACTCTTGTTCATTATATCTTTGGTATGGTATTCAACTGCACTGCTGCATGCTCCTGTTTTATTGCTGAGCAGTGATCTACTGAACAGACGTGACAGAAGTGTTTTTCTGTCCTCCTGGAGATGTGTGTTTGGGTTATTCCAGTTGGAACTCTTCAACCCAGAGCTGCTGTGAATACTTACAGATCTTTGGTGGACATGTACTTTCTTTTTCTTTTTTTTTTTTTTAATATTTGTTTTAGTTATACATGGGCACAATGTCTTTATTTTGTTTATTTATTTTTATGTGGTGCTGAGGATCAAACCCAGGATCTCACACGTGCGAGACAAGCACTCTACTGCTGAGCCACAACCTCATCCCTGGACATGTACTTTCAATGGGTACAAATTCTGCAGATGCTGGAGGAAAAATTAAAGCTTTATGTGATATGTGGAAGTGACCTTGCCCTCACCTTGTTCACCTGTGACTGAGACAAGCACAATGGGGCCGATGCTCAAGAAGGTAAGCATGATGACAAGCTTAACACAAGCATTACCAGCACTGTCAAAGGAGAAGCTGATCACATAGATGAAGGGGATAATAGCCCAGCTATACAGCATCAACATCAAGATCATGGCCAGCACATTCTCATGGTGTGTAAAAGCTTCTTCCTTGTAGTATAAAAACACCACCTAAGGAAAGGAGAAGGATTTGGGAAAAATCATTAAGACTCCATCCTAAACACTGGAGAATAAATATGGTAACCTCAGTTTTATTTATTTATTTATTTTTAAAGAGAGAGAGAGAGAGAATTTTTTTTTAATATTTATTTTTTTAGTTATCGGCAGACACAACATCTTTGTATGTGGTGCTGAGGATCGAACCCGGGCCGCACGCATGCCAGGCGAGCGCGCTTCCGCTTGAGCCACATCTCCAGCCCCCCTTTTTTTTTTTTTTTACTTATTTATTCATTTTAGTTGTTGATGGGCCTTTATTTTTTATTTATATGTGGTGCTGAGAATCGAACCCAGTGCCTCAAACTTTGAGGCAAGCACTCTACCACTGAGCCACAACCCCAGCCCGGTAACCTCAGTTTTAAAAGTAAGGTGTTAGCTATACTCCACCGGCACTTCCTTTCTTTCCCTCATCTACGTGTGCAGTGATGAACAAGTTCTGGGCTCTGCTTTTAGGTTGCTACCCTAGAAATGTGCAGTGCAATAAGGCGTGCAGAGAACAAAGCAGGAAGGGATCCATTCTGCATCAAGTAACTAGGGAACCCTCAAAATGCTCAATTCAATTACAGTCAAATATTTCAACCTGTCACTTCTCTGGAGATATATTTATGGACAATAAACACACATCCCCAGAGCATTGCTTCTCATTAGCTTGAGGCAGCAGCACAGTAGGTGTTGCATAAAGGCCCACTGTTTCTAAGGATGTTTGCAGGTGAGTCATCTTTTACTGAGGTCCTCTGAAGGAGCTTGACACCTAGGACCCCTAGTCAGGGTTGGCTGCCAGGCTGGATTTCTGAGCTGGTTCCAGTTCCGCACAGGTGTCACCAAGGCAAGCACTTTGTAGGAAAGGGCCCAACACCACTCAGTGTGGGAGGCCAACCTTACCGGTGACTGAGTTACACTCCCCAGCTGGGTGCTGAGGCACTCAGTCACAGAAATGGGTGTGTCTTGCTACAGCCCCATGGGTGAAGCTATGCTTACCTGTTCCTTTGTAATATAACCCCTTGCCCTGTTTAGGATAGAATCTTCCATGGAAGTGCCTTGTGTGTGTCCCCTCCTCTTACTGTGCCCTTGGGTGTGGCCTACCCAGGTGTCAGTCAACCTGCTGACAGTGGACATCATGAAGATAGACTCAGCCCCTGAAACCTGACCCCTCACCTCATTTGAATAGCTTCTCCTCAATAAAAGGGGTCAGCGCGTGCTCTCTCTCTCTCTTTCTGCGGACCCTTAAGGTCAGAGGAGCTGTCACAGCAACCCCAAAGAAAAAGGTATTTGTGTCTCTTGTGTGGTTATTTCGTGCAGCCCAGTTAGCCCAGTTTAACTAGAGTGACCCCTGAGCCTTTTAGTCTCGAGAACAGAAACCTGGCAACTCAGCACTCACTATCAGGAGCAGAGTGCAGACAAGGAAGGACAGGAGATCCCACAGCATAGCGGAGAACCAGAAAGCAGCCATGTAAACTCCACTTATGAACTGGATGTGCTTGGCCTTAATGCGTCTTTCTCTGACCGTCAACATGGAAAAAGAGCTAGATAAAAAAGCCATTCCAAAAAGCAAGTTGATAATAAGATAATGTCCTTTAGGGCCCCTGTAAAAGATAGGGTATGAGGAGAAAGGCAGCAGTTTAAGTAAAATTGGGTTCAGCAGCCCTCTCCAAAATAATAATTTTTAATTAAATAAGAAACAAAGAGGTGGCTGGGGTGTAGCTCAGCCAGCGGTAAAGTGCTTGCCTCCCTGTGTGAGGCACTGGGTTTGATCCTCAGCACCACATAAAAATAAATAAACAAAATAAAGACACTGCCTCCATGTACAACTAAAAAATATTTTAAAAAAAGAAACAAAGAAAAAAAAAGGTAACAAAGCAAGAAGCCCTACAGATGTGTAAGCTTGAATTTGAGAGAAGGAAAGTTATACATACTGGTATAAGACATTCTCTGAGAACTCCATGGCTGTCTGAGGTTGAGGGGGGTTGGAAACGGTAATGGAAGCCCTGGCACCAGAAAGCAACTTGAAGAGATAATTGTCCACCAGAGTCAGAGCCAAGGCAGGGGAATGGTATGCCTGGTTGTTGAACAGCCCTCTCACTATGGTGTGGTTATCTACATCTTCAAAGGAAACTGCTACCACATACAGCCTATTAAAGTCCTCGGGTTCCGCTTCTGCCTTTTTCAATAGAAACTCCTCTACAGGACCTAGAAGGGAGCAGAATACCGAGCAGACAGAAAGAATTATTGAGAGAACAACAGTCCCTGCAGAACAGGGAAGACTGACCGAGCTCTCCCCAACTTACTGCTCCTTGTTGATGTCTCCACCAACTGCCAACCCATATCCAAAAGCAAGCCTCCTCCTCCTCCTATCCCACCCTACTCTGAATTCCAGTGAGTCTCTCAATCTTGTTTTTTCGTCTTTTATATCTCTTTCAATTCTGTCTACTTCTCCCCACTTCCTCAATTGAGTTGAGCCCCATCATCTCTGCCTGGACTATGTGGCCTCTAATGAAACTCCTTGCCTTCTATGCAGTACTTCCAGTCTCTGCTTTAAAGGACACATCTGATCATATCTCACCCACCCACTAACCTATAGTGAACCTCCACTGCCTTCCTGATAAAGTTAAATTTCGGCATGAGATGTACAGAAGCCATTCACTGCTTGCCATGGTTTGGATGTCATTTGTCCCCTTCAAAACTGATGTAGAAAATCGGACCCCAAGGTAACAGTGTTAAGAAGTATGAGACCTTAGGAGATGTTTGGGTCTTGGGGGCTCTACCCTTGTGGAGGTGCCACAGTCTGGCTGGGCACAAAATCACGAGCCACCACACAGCTTGTAGATTCAAACAGCAACTCTTTATTCCCGAACTCACACCAGCCGTCTACAATCACGTTCTGGGGAAATCCACGTTCTCTGCCCAAATCCACGTTCTCTGCCCAAATCCACCTCCACTGGGCATCTGTCTCCCAAAAAATACTGTCTGAATCCCGTGAGAACTCAAGGGGAACTCAGGCAGCAGGATATGCCCTATTCCCAGCAGGAATAACCTTAAACCTTAAACCTGGAACCTAAACCAGGAACGCCCTAAACCCGATTATCTTAACCGGGAACACCCTAATCCGCCTTGGTCCTTGAGCAAGGTCACCTACATTCAATGTCACTGCAACATGGGGTACGCTGGCAAGGAAACTGTCATACCCACTTGGCTAATGGCTCCCAGCATCTCCCCCCTTCTGATTACTTGAACAACAAGCAACGTGGCTTAAGGACCGTGCCTGGTAGGTTGTCCAATTCAACATATGGTTCTTACCCGTCATCGGAAAACTGACCTTTAGGCGTCAGCCTCCTGTCTTAGGTTGATACCACTGCAATTGGATCATACCCGTCACTGACTACCGGTCCAGCATATAGCCATTGGCCCCCAAATTTTAGACCATCACTAGCAGAAGGGAGGAGGATACAGAAATGCCACAACACCAAGCCAATTGACGGCTCCTTGGGAAAAATTGCATCACTGGTGACACCATCAGCAAAGATATGCCAGCACTACCACAATTAACATGGGGTGCGCTGGCAAGGAAATAAAAATTGCATCACTGGTTAATCACTGTCACAGATGTAAGAATGGCCAAGCTGGAGTTCTGGATATCAGCTGTTATGGATTTGAGTCAAATCATCTTCTTTTCGATCTGTAGAAATTGTTTTAGTTAATCTCTCTGGAATCCAAATCGGCTGCTGTTCTCCCTGTGGAAACACACAAACAAAACCCCGACTCCAGACAATCACTGGGTCAGGACCTTTCCATTGTCCTGTTAGAATATCTTTCTAAAGTACCTTAGGCTTATGTACATTTTTTGGATACATGTGTCTTTCCGCAGCACTAAGTCCTTATGAATCCAAATTTAAAAAGTTTAGAGTAAAAAGGGTTATTTTAAGTTTATCTTTGGGGGATATATACCCCTTTCAAATTCCCTCTTTTTGCTTTAATAAGTATATGTCTGTATCTAATAGTTGTCTAGCTTTTTGCATTTTTCTATCTGAAATACCTTACTTGACATTTTCAACCATTTTTTATCTTATTTCTATCTTCTAGTTTTTTTTCCCCCCCTAAGGTTTGTACATTCACCCTTAGTTGCTTTTTTTTTCCTTAGTTTTTTTGTTTCCTATTTTGTGGGTTTAAAATTATTGTCTTCCTACATCTTTTCTATCTTCCTATATATTTTTTATCTTTTTTTTAACTTTCTATACTTCTGTCTTTAAAGTTTTTCACTTCAAATTTTTAATCTATCTTTCTACATCTTTTCTCTTTTTTTACCTTTCTGTACTTCTGTCTTTAAAGTTTTTCACTTTAAATTTTTAATCTTCTTTATCTAAATATCTTTTATCCTATTATCTTCCCATTTTTTTAAGTAATGCCTTTATGATTAACTAGGCTTCGAATGACGCAATCTTTCCTCCGTCATGAAGGCATTTTAACCACCTTCAATTTAACCTTTTAAAGCCTTCCAATTATCATCTATACTGTACTTTTAAATGTACTTTTTCACCACCTACAACTTCACTCTTTTAAACGAGGCTTAGATTCTGTTTAAATTGCTTCAATGTTAGTTTACATGGCTGCCCTTCAACCAAAGGCTTTTTTTTTTAACTCCATTGAGAAGCTTTGTCTCAATCTGCCATGTACAAATACCTTTTTCTTTTTTCTTCCTTTCTCAAGCTTTTAAAGTAAGTCTAGTTTCCTCAAAATCTTTTTAAATGGCATTTTACAACTTTTTACTTTACCACACAGAGATTATCTCATCTAGAAACATTTCTTTTTCCTTTAACCTTTTATATTAAAATATATTTCCACATCTTGAATCTTTTTCTATCTCTTTTTTAACCGTTAACCCTTTTTATAAATTCACATTTTGAAACAACTCTTATAAAATTTCTGATTTAGACAAATTACTCCACTTTAATAAAATGAAAGACTTTCATGTTTTTTATGATACTATAATACTATAATTGAAACCCAACTGAAAATTTTTCTACTCTTTGTATATAAATTACACATGATAGAATCTTAACTCTTAGTAACCTTGTTTTAGCAAAGACAGAGACACAAAGCAATATTAAACCTTTTTCCATTTACCAATTTATGAAAACACACATAATGTTTAAATATATTACCTTATGGAACTTAATAAGTAAAGAGTACTTGATTTCATATTTAGTGGTTGATATTTTAACACTTTAGCTTTGTAAATTAATCAGATGTCTGTAAAAACCAAGATCTTAGACAAATGTAGTAAACAGAACTAGTCATCTCTTTCTTGAAGAAAAATCCTCCTACAGGATACCATGATGGTCCCATTGATATACTTAATAACTTGTCTTTAAAAGCCATGGGCTACATTTTTGTATTGTATCAACATATGTCCTAACTGTTCTTGGTCTTACTGGGGTGCCTCTCTCCTCTAACAATTTTTCTTCCTCGGAGGCGAACAACTTCAAACTTTGAATCAACCATTTTTCCCAGTTTGCCTGAGAAAGTTCTAGGAACAGGCAACTTGAAATAAAAACAAAATAAATCAAAACAGGAACACATTGTTTTTTGAATTGATCACCCATTCTCTCGCCTTCCCTCAGGGGCGAGCAATTTCACTTACCTCCAAGCTTCAGAAGTTCCCCGCACGGGCCGCCAAATGCCACAGTCTGGCTGGGCACAAAATCACGAGCCACCACACAGCTTGTAGATTCAAACAGCAACTCTTTATTCCCAAACTCACACCAGCCGTCTACAATCACGTTCTGGGGAAATCCACGTTCTCTGCCCAAATCCACCTCCACTGGGCATCTGTCTCCCAAAAAATACTGTCTGAATCCCGTGAGAACTCAAGGGGAACTCAGGCAGCAGGATATGCCCTATTCCCAGCAGGAATAATCTTAAACCTTAAACCTGGAACCTAAACCAGGAACGCCCTAAACCCGATTATCTTAACCGGGAACACCCTAATCCGCCTTGGTCCTTGAGCAAGGTCACCTACATTCAATGTCACTGCAACATGGGGTACGCTGGCAAGGAAATTGTCATACCCACTTGGCTAATGGCTCCCAGCACACAAAATCACGATTACTGGGAGTAAATTATGTCTTCTGGGAGTGGGTTAGTTATGTGAAAACAATTGTGAAAGTGAGTTCAGCTTCCTCTCCCACCATGTGACCCTCCCACCTTTCCACCATGTCATGATATAGTGCAGGGCCTTTCCTAGAAGCTGAACAGATGTCAGCACCATGCTCTTGAACTCTCCAGCCTCCACACCATTAGCCAGAATAAACCTTCATTTTCCTTCTTCTTATTCTGTGTGTGTGTGTGCGGGGGGTATGTGTGTGTGTGTTATTAGGAATTAAAGAGCCAGGGTGCTCTACCACTGGGCTACACTTGAGACAGGGTCTCACTAATTGGCCTTGAACTTGTGATCCTCCTGTTTCAGCCTCCTGAGTGGCTTGGATTAGAGGCATGGGCCACTGTACCTGGCTTCAGCCTCATGTCTTTAAGTGCCTGCTATACCAAAGCACATATAGTTCCCCAAGCTTTTAGATGTTCTGCTTTTTGTTTGGAATGTTCTTTGGGTTACCTTTCCCTTCTACTGGCTGATACCTATTCATATGTCAGGCTCTGACTCTGGAGCCTATTCTGATCTTCCAAGGCTGGGATATATCCATCATTGCCAGTTTATATCATAAGTACCATCCCTTATCCATAAGGCCTCTGGATTGGAAGTTCCTTGAGGACTGGTAGAAATGTTGTTCACCTTTGCATTTCCAGCACATAGTGGAATCAGGACCTTCAGTGACCATGACAACAATAATGACAATAGTACTGCAGACTGAATGCTTACTAGGCACCAGCTATGCCAAATATGCAGTAGGCTCTCCTCTCCTCCATGGGATTGTACCAATTACACCATGAGGATGGATTTAGTATTCTGGCCATTTGGTATATGAAGAGATGAAAGCTTTGAGAGGTAAGATATGTTAATCAGTTTTCCATTACTATGACAAATATTTCAGATTATCAACTTACAAAGAGAAAAGGTTTATTTTGGCCCATAGTTTTAGAGATTTCTGTCCATAGTAATTTAGCCCTATTGCTTTGGACCTGTGGTGGCACATCATGTTGTCAGTGCATGGCAGCTCAAATTGCTCACCTCATGACTGGGAAGTGAAAAAGAGGAAGAGACAGGGGCTGGGGTCCCACTCTCTACTTCAAGGTCATACCCCCAAGGACCCGAAGACCTCTCACTTGCTCCCTCTTAAAGGTTCCGCAACCTCCCAACTCCAGAGTACAAGACTTCCACACACAGGCCTTTGGGGGATATTTAAGATTCACATTAAGGCACGGGGTGTTCCGACTGACCCAAAGCATTTTGTTACATTATATTCTGCATTTGATCTCTTACTTTATTAAAAAAGTAATTACTTTATGATTTTATTTAATCAAAATAGTACAAGAATATAATTTTTAAAAAATCAAATACTTCTTCTACAAGACACATCGGGAAAGAATAGTACCTTGCCTTGTTGGCACCATCACTGGTACCTGCACATGAGAGGCACCCCCTTTCAAATATCTTAGCATATTTACCATTTGATGTTTTATTATGGAAGCAGCTGTTTTGTTATCTTACTATCATCACCAAGCCCTAAGAATTTCTCCTCCCTGTCCTCCCACCAGAGTTACATCTAATTTTGTTACATTGATAGTCGGTTTTAACATTATTATTAATAAGTGAAAATATTCACAGCTGATCCAAATAGTATATTTCATTTTTAAATATATATATATATATATATATATATATATTAGTTGTAGGTTGACATAATGCCTTTATTTATTTATTTTTAAAGTATTTATTTATTTTCGTTGTAGTTGGACACAATACCTTTATTTATTTATTTATTTATTTATTTATTTATTTATGTGGTACTGGGTATTAAACCCAGGGCTTTGTGCATGTGAGGCAAGCACTCTACCAACTGAGCTATATCCCCAGCCCCATTTATTTATTTATTTACTTATTTTTAGATATTTATTTTTTTAGTTGTAGTTGGACACCATACCTTTATTTTATTCATTTATTTTTATGTGTTGCTAAGGATCGAACCCAAGGTCTCACATGAGAGTCGAGTGCTTTACCGCTGAGCCACAACCCCAGCCACTTTATTTATTTTTTAAACTTCTTTTTATTTATTTTAATATTTTTAGTTGTAGTTGGACACAATACCTTTATTTTATTTATTTATTTTTATGTGGTGCTGAGGATCAAACCCACTGCCTCACCTATGCTAGGGAAGCGCTGCACCGCTGAGCCACAACCCCAGCCCTGTATTTCTTTTTGTACAACTTTTTCCCTGAAATTAATAATGTCCTCTTTTTTTTCTTTATTTCCTTAGTTTTCTTTATATCTATCACCAATTTACCCACAAATTCCCTTGATAGAAGTGTAAGTCTTTCAGCATATTCAAACATAGTGAATAATTCATCAATTTCATTTTGGGGAATGCTTTAATACCATGGTCTCATTTCTAAGAACCCTGCCTTTGCTGTCATTTGGGGTTTGAATGACGTTTTTCTGAGACTTCCAGCTATTCAGTTAAGAATGTTGTCTTCCTACAAAGGACAACTGCCCTGCTTTGTGCCCCATTGCCCTGGGCCTGATAGTTACCTGGGACTTCCAGAGGAATCTATCCCTGAGCCACAAGCATATTTGCAAAATGATCTGAAAGTTGAGGATCCAGTTTGAAATTCTGAGAAACAAAGAATGGAACAATAGTCTGACCATATGTATTTAGAGCCAACTGTAAGGGAACACTTCCCATGCTCCTCATTTTAAAGTTGAAGAATGTGAGGCTTAATATAATGATCACCAGAGGCACCAAGATCTGTACAGGTAACATCACCATCCAGTTGCGCCGAGAATATATGACCCTTTTCAGGAACATGGCGTAGAATTGTTGGCAGAGAAGACTGAACTACAATGAAAAAGAGGGAGGTACTGCATCAACATGGTGACCAAAGCTAGAGGCACTCAGGTGGTCCCTGGCTCATAATCACTTATAGTCTCCTCAGATTATTCTAACTAATTTTTAAACTATGTTCAAAATTCACTTCAAATTAAAATGCTTTATGATTTATGCTTAGTGGCAAAAAGAGAGTGTAAATTAGAAAGGATCTGGAAGTGCAACCCAAGATACTAGAGATATCAAATGTAAATGATACCTTTTTTTTTCACCACAGACTGGTAAAAATTTTAAGTTAAGAAGAATGTAGGGGGCGCTGGGGTTATGGCTCAGAGGTAGAGCACTCACCTGCCCTGCGTGAGGCACTGGGTTCGATCCTCAGCACCACATAAAAATAAAATAACAATATTGTGTCCACCTATAACTAAAAAATAAAAATTAAAAAAAAAGAGAAGAATGTAGGGAAAATGCCACTGTTGGAGGGGTTTTCACTTGGCACAGCTTCTCCAGAAAACAAGTTATCTGGATGAACACAAATACAAATATTAAATTACAAATTTAATTTTAATATTGAAAATTTAAATTAAAAATTTAATATTCACATAATCTTTAACCCAGAAATTCCTCTTCTGGTCATGTATCCTACAAGTAAATATGCAAAACTGGTGCACAAAGATATCCCTGGTGGCAATAATAGACAATGTCGAAGTGTGCAGTTATGTGCACAGAGATCCTAAGAGCTGGAGTCAGGCCTGGGGTGGGAGACCCTTGGCGGTAGTGCTGCATGCATCCATTTAGCTTCTGTGGGGTGCTGCATGGGTGGGTATGTGTGGGAGGGCTTTCAGGCCCAGGTGCCACTGCCTCTTAGCCTGGTGGTCAGGTCTGAGACAGGCATTCCGAATTAATGGCCAAAATACTGACTGATTTCTGAAAGATTTTATCTACCAGACACCACCAGGGGAAACCCTCAGTATGGTGGAGGCTACATTCACTTTCAGCATTTATCAAAAGGCTCTGCTATGACTTATCTGAAGTCACACACAGTAATACTTCATGAGAAGACTTGGGACCATGATGGTCTTATTTTACATTAATACTTACAGACAGCTAAATCAAGACTACTTTGTAAAATGTATGTCAATATTCTTTTTTCAATATTAAGAGAATATTATAGGTTGTCCATGTATTTCATAAGGATATGTTTAAAATTTTTTATATTCCAGATGGTACAATGTATAAATTAATCTGCTTCACAGTGAAGGAGTGAATACATATTCTGGCCGGTAGTGTGTTTCTTTCATTCTCTCTTTTTCCCTGTGAGAGGAATGACCAGGAACCTACTAGAATGTCTTCTGATACTTTCCTTCCATTTGAATGGGTTAATCCCTCTCTAAAACATCACTCTTTTGCTTTCAAAATAAAGCAAAGAGTGTCATACTGCCAAAACCTGGCAGACAGGTCCTTAAAACTTAAAAATTGCACATTTATATACAGAACCTTCAAAAGTTAATGTATACTTCTTGACAAAATGATTGTGTGATTCCACGAATTAAACCAAAATTTGCTTTCTAGTATGCACTTGGAATATGCTGCTTACTCCAGTGTTTAGTGTGATTGGTAGACCAGTCTGTAATGAGAAGATCCTTGAATGAAGATATTTAATTCTTTCAACAGGAACTCTGCTAATCAGGGAATGGGGATGAATAGAGGGTTGCTTCTTGGCTGAAATATCTGTACTGTAGTCTGCCAACATACAAACCCTAAACTAAATCAAAAACAAAAACAAATACAAACTCTCAAAATCACAATATATTTCATTTTGATTGGACTTAAACAATGAAAGTCATATAATATTTGAAAGTCATATAATATTTGAAAAATTAAGAAGTTAAGAATAATGAGCAGAATAGGAGCTATATCTAGATTATATCCTGGGTAGCAAGATTTAAAAAAAAATCTTTAATTGCTTTTGCAGTGCTGGTGATTGAACCCAGAGGTACTTTACCACTAAGCCACATTCCCATCCCTTTATATTTTATTTTATTTTGATTCAGGATCTTACTACATTGCTGAGGCTGACCTGGAATTTGTGCTCCTGAATCAAGCAGCTGGGATTATAGGCAAGTACCACTGGGGTCCAGCTATAAATTCTTATATAAGCACTAAATATTGAGTTAACTAACCAATGGCTTTTCCAAAGAGCTGAGACAACACTAGCATAAACAGCTTTTGTTATTTTCTTTTAAAAGTACCACATGAGTCAGGTGCAGTGGCAGACACCTATAATCCCAGCAACTCAGGAGGCTGAGGCAGAAGGATTGCCCGCCTCATCAATTTAGTGAAGCCCTAAGAAACTTAAAGAGACCCTGTCTCAAAATAAAAGGGCCAGGGATGTAGGTCAGGGGTAAAGTGCCCCCAGTTTCAGTCCCAAGGACAAAATATGTGCACTGAGATCCTAAGAGCTGGGCCATAAAGCCTATAATAAATAAACAAATAAATAGGGCTGAGATTATGGCTCAGTGGCAGAGCACTTGCCTAGCATGTGTGAGGCACTGGGTTTGGTTCTCAGCACCACATAGCAATAAATAAAATAAAGGTTCATTGACAACTAAAATAATAAATAAATAAATAAATAAATAAATAAATAAATAAAAATACTGAATGAAAATTAGAATAAAATGACATATAATTTAATATCTATTTTATGAGAAAAATTGAAAATTATAAAATACAGCACTACTGAGACCATTGATCAGGGGATGGTAAATTATAATTATAGGCCAAATTCAGCCAAGGCCAATTTTTGACTGGCCCTGAGCTCAGAATGGATTTTACATTTTAAAAATGTTACCTGTTAGGTGGGACTGGGGCTGTGGCTCAGTGGTAGAGTGCTTGCTTAGCATGTGTGAGGCACTGGGTTTGATCCTTATCACCACATAAAAGTAAACAAATAAAGGCCTACTATCCACTAACAACTACAAAAAAAATTTTAAAAGGTTACATGTTAGGTGGTTATGTAAGTACTGACATAACACTCTTGATTGTGCCATAAAGCCTATATAGCATAAAATACAATCAAGACCTTTAAGGAAAAGTTACTGACCCCTGCCCTAGGGAAAAAGAAAAGTTTGTCGTTGTTAGCAAAGTGTTCGTGTGCCAAGAAATGTATTTATGATTCTGGCCTTTGAGTTATTATTCTATTTCTGTGAATTTGTCACAGCAAAATACCCAGTAAGTTGTGATTAATTTCCCCTTCAGCACTGTTCTGTAAAAGGTGGTGTACTTGTTATTCATTGCTGTGACACAGGTGATCCCCAAAGTTGGCAGCTAAAACAACAGTAAATATTTATTATTTCACACAGTGTCTGTGGATGAGGAATTTGGAAGTGTATTAGCTGATGATTCTACCTCAAGGTTTCTCATGAGGCTGCAGTCCGGATATGGATGAGGGCTGCAGTTGTCTGAAGGCTTGACTGGGACTGTTAGACCCAATTCCAAAAGCAGGAAGTACAGAGAGGATCCCACAGGATCCCATCACCCCTTCCCCCTATTATTAGCATCTTATGTTAGAATGGTTCATCATCAGAACTGATGATATAGTATTCCAGCAGATTCTCCTTTTCCTCTTTCTTTCCTTTCTTCCTTTTTCAGGGGTACTCTGCCACTGAGCTACATCCTCAGACCTTTTCATTTTATTTTGAGATGAGGTCTCATTAAGTTGTCCAAGCTGGCTTTGAATTTGCAATCCTCCTGCCTTAGCCTCCCAAACTACTGGGATTACAGGTATGCACCACAGTGCTTGGCTTCTCTCTCCTTTCTTTTCTTTCTTCCTTCTCTGGGGGTTGAAAACAGGGGGGCACTTTGACCCTGAGATACATCCCCAGCCCTTTATTTATTTATTTATTTTAATTTTGAGAGATGGTCTTGCTCAATTGCTGAGGCTGACTTTAAGTTTACCATTTTCCTGCCTCAGTGATCCAAAGTTGCTGGGATTACAGCTGTGTGCCACTACCTAAGGCTTTTTAAAAAAATAGAAATGGGGCTGGGGTTGTGGCTCAGCAGCAGAGCACTCACCTCTCATGTGTGAGACCCTGAGTTCGATCCTCAGCAACACATAAAAATAAGTAAACAAAATAAAGATATTGTGCCCATGTATAACTAAAAAAAATTTTCAAAAATAGAAATGTGAATTTTTATTTAAAAATTTACACAGTAATGCAAAAGACTTATCATAGCTATAACCATCTTCAAATAATAAAACAAAGCTTAAGGAACTATCTACTGCTTGACTGTAAGACATGCTACAGTAATCTCAACAGTTATTGGCTTAGGACAAAATAGAACATTCTGTAGAATGTAGAAAATTATATAGTCAACTGACTTTTTGGTGAAGGTATGCAAACAATTTAACACAGAAAGTAGTCTTTTCAACAAATAGTGTGTCCCAACTGGAAATCCATGTGGAAAAAAATGAACTTTGATCCCTTATTAAACCTGCATAAAATAATTGCAAGAAAAATAATAAGCTAACATAAAAGCTAAAATGATTAAGTTCCTAGAAGAAAGTAGGGAAATAGACTTGTGATTTAAGGGTATGCAAATTATTTTTTAGACAGGGCATAAAAAACAATAACAATAAGAACAAAAATTCATAAATTAGGTTTCATAAAAATTTTTAAACTTTTGTCAAGAGAAATGCAAATCAAAACTACTCTAAGATATCATCTCACTCCAGTCAGAATGGCAGCTATTATGAAGACAACAATAGTGTTAGTGAGGATGTGGGGGAAAAGGTACACTCATACATTGCTGGTAGGACTGCAAATTGGTACAGCCAATATGGAAAACAGTATGGAGATTCCTTGGAAATCTGGGAATGGAACCACCATTTGACCCAGCTATCCCTTTCCTCAATCTATACTCAAAGGACTTAAAAACAGCTTACGACAAGGACACAGCCACATCAATGTTTACAACAGCACAATTCACAATAGTTAAATTGTGGAACCAATCTAGATGCCCTTCAGTAGATGAATGAATAAAAAAAAGTGTGGCATATATACACAATGGAATATTACTCAGCAATAAAAGAGAATAAAATCATGGCATTTGCAGGTAAATGGATGGAGCTGGAAAAGATAATTCTAAGTGAAGTTAGCCAATCCCCCCAAAAAAACAAATACCAAATGTTTTCTCTGATATAAGGAGGCTGATTCATAGTGGGGTACGGAGGGGTAGCATGGGAGGAATAGACGAACTCTAGATAGGGCAGAGGGGTGGGAGGGAAAGGGAGGAGGCAAGGGGTTAGCAAGGATGGTGAAATGTGATAGACATCATTATCCAAAGTATATGTATGAAGACACGAATTGGTGTGAACATACTTTATATACAACCAGAGATATGAAATATTGTGCTGTATATGTGTAAATAAGAATTGCAATGCATTCTGCTGTTATTTGTTTTTTAAAAAATCAATTAAATTTTTTTAAAAAAGCATCAATTGGAAGAAAATATAGGCAAGATGTATTTATGACAAAGGACTTGTGTCCAAAACATGCAAAAACTCCAACAATTAAAAAAAACCTGAGCTGTAGACTTAATACCTGTGCACCTTTTGGTATACATTATACTTCAATAGAAATGTAATTCTATTCTCATCAATGACAACAGCAAAAGTAATTTTGGATAAAAACCCTCAGTGGAATTGTTTAACTAAAGATCAGAAACATTTGGAGAGATAATCAATTATCTGAATGACAGATCAGAAAACATTATACAGAATGTAGCTCAGGGAGAGTACCACATAAAAAATGTGAAAAAGGAGTTAAGATTCAGATTTACACAGTTCAGACAGTGAGAAGATCTCATACATCTAACTGGAGCTCCAAAATAAGAAAGGAAGTTTGAGTAGAGGCACTGCATGAACAGATAATGGCTAGACATTCTCAATTCATGGAAGTTCATCAGATAAAGCAGAATAGCTAAAAATCTCAAAAACAAAACAAAACTCCCACAAACATGGATACATTATAGAGAAACTCTAGCAGTGAAAACAAACAGCATCCAAATTACTTTCAAACAACCAATGGATGAACCCAGTGGCTCTTCCCCAGCAACAGCTGACTGTGAAATACTATTTTTTGTGTAGTAAAGGAAAACAATTTTCAACCTGATTAAAATAATCTTCAAAAATTAGGAGGGAATAAAATTATTTCAAAAATATTCTTTCAGTTGGGCACTGTGGCACATGCCTGTAATCCTCCGCTGAGGCAGGAGGATCACAAGTTCAAAACCAGCCTCAGCAACTTATTGAGGCCCTATGCAACTCAGTGGGACCTTGTCTCTAAACAAAATATAAAAAAAAGGGCTTAGGATGTGGCTCATGGTTAAATATCCCTGTGTTTAATCACGGTACCTATGTGCCCGCGCACACACCCACACACACACTTTTTTTTCATCTCAAAATACCCGAGAGCTTGGCACCAGCATAAAACAAAACAAAAATAAAAATGAACAAATGAAAACAACTTATAGAGAACATTGCTGGCAGAAGGAAAGTTCTGAGAAAGCTGATCACCAAAATAATGCAATAATGCATAATTTCCAACTAGTGTGTGGTGAGAGGTGAAAATAGAATGAGGAAAAAACATCCAAAAAAGAGAGAAAAAAAAAACCATATAGGGCTGAGGTTGTGGCTCAATGGTAGAGCACTTGCCTGGCATGCATGAGGAACTGGGTTCAATCCTCAGCACCACATAAATATAAGTAAATAATTTAAAGTTATTGTGTCTATCTATTACCTAAAAAAAATTTTTAAAAAAGCCATATATGATAGGCAGTTCTGGTAGAAAATATAAATAAAATGACAGATATAAATTAGAATATATCATTACTACTCATAAACAGACTACATATTGCCAGTTAAAACATAAATATTGCTAGACTGGATAAAACCATACCCATACTCCTTACCACCCTCTAGCCTGTTGTGGCCCCTTGGGTAGTTTGTATACAAACTTCGTAGAATTGAGCCTGCATCCTTGCTTCAGGATACTGACATTGCTTGATGGGTAAGCCAGCCAATCCCAGAGCTTTCCTGCTTTGGTTTTTTTTGTTTTGTTTTGTTTGTGATGGAGATGGAACCCAGGGCCTAGTGCATTCTAGGCAAGGATTCCACCTCTAAGCCACATCCCCAGCCTGTTGGAAATTCTTTTTAAAAGAAGTATTGAGGGCTGGGGTTGTGGCTCAGTGATGGAACACTTGCCTAGCATGTGTGAGGAACTGGGTTCAAGTCTTAGCACCACATATAAATAAATAAATAAAGGTTCATCAATAACTAAACATATATGAAAAAAATTTATAAAAAGAAGTATTAAATTTTCCTAAATGTTTAAACCAGCTGAGTAGGAGCTGGTTTAAATAATTATCTATTATTTGTAGGCAAAAGCATCCCAACCAATATAACGCTTTTTTCTGTTTTCATTCATTAGAAATTTCTGTTAAAATTAAGTTTGTTAGGTAGTAGTATACTTGCCTAGCATGTGTGAGGTCCTAAGTTTATTAAATGAATGAATGAATAAATAAGTAAATTTTGTTGAATAATATTATACTTAACATCATCTCCATTATCCAATATCCTCATTATCGGAAGCACTGGTCAGAGACTGGACAATCATTCAGTGAGGCCAATTCGTGAAGAGATTTAAGCACTAGGAAATTTTTATATAGATGATATTTAGGGTCCTTGGAGTATACATTTGAATTCCTGCTTACCTAATGAACACTTCCTCCATGGTAGTGACAGAAGCCCCAAAGCTGGTGATTCCCAGCTCTGTCTGCTTCATTTCCAGGTCAGTAAATAGAGATTCAAACCTGGAAGGAAAGAATAACTTTATTACTAAAGATGAAAATGAATCTTCCACCATCCTTAGTTCTCTACAAGGGAAAGGCCCCAGTTTTGGAGTCAAGATTTCTGTTTAAGGCCTAGCCTGTCATGCTCTAGCTTCATAACTTGGGCTTGAACAAAAGTAATGGCATTGATTTCAGAAGGTTCCTGTAGGGATAAACCTAAAACAACTGAGCACATTATATAGATGCGAACCAATCTCACTTTCAAATAGGAAGAAATACTATTTCTGGAGTGCTTACTTCATGCTGGGGGACATTCTTGGACCTTTTACATGTATTAATTAACTCTATGAATCCTTTCAACAGCTCTCTAAAGACAGTGTTGAGAGTTTAAGAAACTTCTCTGAGGTCACATAGCCAGAAGCAACAAAGCTAAGACTTAACACTCAGGCCTTCTACAGAGACATGCTTTCAATTGTTATGCTGAACAGTCTGTTAAATCCTTAACAGTATGTTAATTTTGCACCCTTCCTCATTCATGCCTTCCATTTTTTAAAAAAAATATATTTTTAAGTTGTACATGGGCACAATAACTTTATTTATTTATCTTTATGTGGTGCTGAGGATCGAACCCAGTGGCTTGCACGTGCTAGGCAAGCACTCTACCACTGAGCCACAACCCCAGCCCATACTTTCCATTTTTAAAATTTGAATGATTTGTGGATTTTTGTGTGATATTAAGACACCTATCATAAACTTCTACAATTGAAAGTCTCTGTTCTCCAACACCCAATAGTAAATCTGCCTTTAAGAAACCACACTCACATGCCATGTGCCCCTGCAGGCAGATGGTGATTAAGGTTTTAATTGGGCGTGGTTTGAGTCCTGACTCTGCCACTTATTGTGACTTTGGGCTAGTCATTTCATCGTTCCAAACATTTCCTCATTTGTATAAACAGGTATTACTTAATTCACAGAGTTGTAAAGACTGAGGTAAGTGTGGGCTGGGATTGTAGCTTAGTGGTAGAGCACTTGTCTATGTGTGAGGCAGTGGGTTAAATTCTCAGCATTGCATGTGAATAAATGAAATAAAGGTTCATCCACAGCTACAAAAATATTTTTAAAAAGACTGAGATAAGTGTAAAAACACTTAGTAAAGTAGACAATATGTATTAAATAGTTAGCAAATACTATATGCTGGCTGGGCGTGGTGGCACTCAATTGTATTCCTCAGCAGGGTGGCTGAGGCAAATTCAAAGCCAGCCTCAGCAACTTAGTGAGACCCTGTCTCAAGATAAAAAACAAAAAGAGTTCAATCCCTGGTACTTTAAAAAAAAAAAACACCCTATATGTCATATATCATCAATATGTTCTACATCGTCTTTATTCAGTTTTCAGGTACTGAAATTATACTCATGTAATTGCTACTGTCTTGCCAACAGTGTTATTGTGTCCTTTTTAAAAAATGGAGGCACAATTTACGTATAGTAAAGTGTCTTGTTTTCATGTGTGTGGGATAGTTGGAAAAGCCTTGATAATTTATGGTTTCAATCCAATTGAGACTTATGGCATCTGGGTAAGTGGCACATGCCTGTAATCCACCACCAACTCAGGAGACTGAGGCAGGAGGATAGCAATTTCAAGGCTGGCCTCAGCAGCTTCACAAGATGCTGTCTCAAAATAAAAATTTCTGGGATGTAAAGCTCAGTGGTAGAGTACCCCTGGATTCAATCCCCAGTACTGAAAACACACACACACACACACACACACACACACTCACACACAAAGACAGAATATTTCCATTACTCCAGAAAATGACCTCATGTCTGATGAGTCCCTCTCCTGCTTTCAAGAGATTTCTATTATCATAGGTTAGTTTGTTTTTGTTCTTAATGTAAAAGGAACCATACAGTCTTTTTTGTATCCAGCTTCATCCTTGCAACATGTTTTTGAGAATGAACCATGCTGTTGCATGCATGAATCCTTTGCTTTTGTTAATTGTGGAACAGTATTCAATAGAAGAAATTTATCTATTTCTCTGTTGATTGACATTTGGACTGTTTCCATGTCAGAATTCTTATGATTAAAGCAGCTATAAACATTCTTCTCAATGTTCTATTTCTGGATATACACTTTCATTTATTTTGGATAATGTAACAGATAAAAGATTGATGCAAATTATTCACTCCTTCTATTAAGAAGTAGAGCTTAATTCTATGCTCTTATCTAAGCAACCCTTAGTGACTTGTTTAAGATGCAATAGTGTCAATTTAGTGTCTTTCTCTGAGCAGTCTAATCTGCCAAGTGAGATGTCTTCCCACCATGAAGCCATCCATCATGGTGGAGAAGACATATGAGATGTTTTAGTGTCTTCAAGAAATCCCTCTCAAGGCACTAGATATAAGAATGAAGCCATCTTGGAGCCTCTGGATAAGCTCATCACAACTCATGTTTTGTTTGGCATCTGTGTTCATGAGAATATAAAATCTGTAATATTCTGTTGTCATAACTCTTCCTGGTTTTGATATTAGGGATGTGCTGTTCTTGAAATAAGTTGGGAAGTGCTCTCTTTTCTGTTTTCCAAAGGATTGGGATTATTTTCTTTAATGTTTGATAGCATCCAGATTTTCTTTCTGTAAATATTTTTATTTTATTTAATTTTTATTTGTATTTGCAGAGCTGGGATTAAAACTCAGGGTTTCACACATGCTAAGCAAGCACTCTACCATTCAGGTACATTACTAGCTCTCAGAATATTTCTTATTGCAAATTTAATATTATGAATGGATGTATGAGTATTCGGATTTTCTACTTCATTTTGTGTTAGTTTTGATAAAAATATTTACTAAGTAATCAGCCCATTTTATTTGTTTATTCATGATGTTTTCTTCCTAATTTTTTTTCAGTTGTAGATGGACACAATACCTTTATTTTATTTATTTATTTTTATGTGGTGCTGAGGATCAAACCCAGTATCTCACATGTACTAGGCAAGTGCTCTACCATTGAGCCACAACCCCAGACCTCATGATGTTTTCTTATCCTTTTATAATTCTAGGCTCTGCAATTACAGTAGTTCTTTCATTCCTGATGTTGGTCAATTTTATTTTTATTTAATGGTTTATCAATTTTCTGGGGATTTGTCAATTTTGTTAATCTTTTAAAATAAACAACTTTCGGCTTTTTAGATTTTTTTCCCTCTTCACTGTTTTCTCTCCTTGTAGTTATCACTTCTTCTCTTCTGGGTTCAATTTTCTCTTCTTTTCTACTTCTTCAATTGGAAACTTAGACAATTGTTTCCCCCCACCCCTTTTATTTTCTTTTTGGCAGTACTAGGGATTAAACCCAGGGGTGCTTTACTGTAGAGCTACATCCCAGACGTTTTTATTTTTTATTTTGAGACAGGGTCTCACTGAATTGCCCAGGCTGGCCTTCAACTTGCTTCAGCCTACAGAGTCACTGGAATTGTAGATGTGTGACATTGTGTTCAGCTAAGCCTTTCCTCTTTTTCTCTTTTTTTTGTAGGGCAGATTTCTTCTTTTCTTTTTTTTTTTAAGAGAGAGTGAGAAAGGGAGAGAGAGAGAGAATATTAATATTTATTTTTTAGTTATCAGTGGACACAACATCTTTGTTTGTATGTGGTGCTGAGGATCAAATCCGGGCCGCACGCGTGTCAGGCGAGCGCGCTACCGCTTGAGCCATATCCCCAGCCCAGATTTCTTCTTTTCTAATGGAAGTTTATAAAAGCTACAAATTTCCCTGTAAGCACTGCTTTAGCAGCATCTGAAAATTTTTAATGTTATACTTTTATTATCATTCAGTTAAAAATATTTTTCAGTCTCTTCAGCCCATGAGTTATACAAAAGTATGCTGTTTAACTTCATTTGTAAATTTTAAAAGCATCTTATTGTAATCAATTTTTTCTTTTCCTTTTTTTTTTTTGTACTGGGGATTGAACTCGGGGCACTCCACTGAGCTACATTCCTAGCCCTTTTTATTTTTTATTTTTTTGATACTGGGTCTCACTAAATTGCTTAGGGCCTTGCTAAATTGCTGAGGCTGGCTTTGAACTTGCAATTCTCCTGCCTCAGTCTCCCAAGTCACTGGGATTACAGGCATGTGCCACTGTACCTGGCTTTTAATTAATTTCTAATTTTCTCTTATTGTATTCAGTGATATATAGAGAGAGAGACAGATAGATAGATAGATAGATAGGTTGAATGATACACTGCTCTTCCCAGAGGAGACTACAGAGATTTTTAAAACTATAATCCACACCAGATATGATGGTTTACGCCTTTAATCCCAGCAATTCAGGAGGCTAAGGCAGGAAGATCACAAGTTCAAGGCCAGCATCAGCAATTTAGTGAGACTCTGTCTCAAAAAATGAACAAACAACCAAAACAAATAAATAATAACCTGGCTGGGGATGTGTCTCAGTGGTGCAGTGTCCTGGGATTTATCTTAATAATAATAATAATAATAATAATAATAAAATAAAAACTATAATCCAACAGTATACATAGCTTCTTACCACAATTACCCTATAAACATCGAAACTCTTCTTTTCCCCCAAATGACCCTAATCTCACATGAAAACAGTTATGATGGGAGAACCAGAAACCTAGTTTTGTGGTCAAAAGTAAGATCTAAGGAAAATGAGCAGTCCAGTGGTGAGCTGGAAAGTGGTTAGCTAGTGAGGCCACTGCCCTAAACTGCACTGTCTTGCTCTTCCTGCTCTTTCTCTTTGTCCCTCTTGTAGCGCATCTGGATAGTTTTCGATAGGTTCAAATGATCCATCTGAGTCTTACCTCTGTGGACCTCACCACAGTGCTGATCTTCTTTTTTCCAACACTAGTTCTTTTTTTTTTAAAAAATTATTTATTTTTTAGTTGTAGTTGGACACAATACCTTTGTTCCATTCATTTATTTTTATGTGGTGCTGAGGATTGAACCCAGGGCCTTACGTGTGCTAGGTGAGTGTTCTACCACTGAGCCACAATCCCAGCCCCCAACACTAATTCTTAA